AGAACTGCTAGGGCTGGAACCTTATTATCAAAATCAACCTAAGGCTCCACCACTGGTGTTGCTGCTCGGGACTGAGCTCTGCCCCTACCTCGTCCTCTAGCACAACCTCGGCCTCACCCTCTGCCCCTCGTGGGAGCTGCTATTGGGGGCTCGGGCTGCTGAGCGGTGGATGAGAAAACGCATGTTCTCTTCATCTGCGAAAGAACAGAGTAGAAATTCAATTAGCATTGAGAAACGACACCGCACGACGAGAAAGAACAAATGTGAAGTTTTCCTAACTCTGTAGCCTCTGGGGATAAATACAGACGTCTCCATACCATTCCCTCAGACTCTACTAAACTTGTCCATGAATTGTGAGACCCATGTAACCTAAAGCTCTGATTCCAACTTGTCACAACCTGGATTACCCACCCTCGGGAGTCGTGATGGTGCCTACTCATATAAGCTACGCAAGCCATGAAATTTTAGAAATTTTAACTCCTTCATTTTAGTCCTTTTTAATAATTTTTAATAACAGGTAATCAATATTTAAATATTAGCGAAAGACAAAAATATGCGGAAGATTTAGACTAATATAATGCCAATATCAGTACAGAAATATCAACATACATCTCTACCCAAAAACTGGTGTCACAATATTCACGGACTGTCTATGAATACTATATAAAGATGCCTGAAGAAAAGAAATACCATCTGTCTCGGATACAAATAAAAACAGAACATATAAGTAGATAGAAGAGATGCAGGGCCTGCGGACGCCTACAAGACTACCTCGGGGTCTATGTGGACTGAAGGTTGGCTCCCCAAGTGCTATTGTCCCAGTGCTGCTCCGGTATCTGCACAGAGTGCAGAGTGTAGTATCAGCACAACCGACCCCACGTTCTAGTAAGTGTCTGGCCTAACCTCGGCGAGGTAGTGACGAGGCTAGGACCAGACTCCAGATAAACCTGTGCAATTACATAATATGTGACGGGAAAATAAACAGGAATAAACAGTTTAAATGGGAGGGGGTACATGCTTCGGGGAACATATCAAATCCAACAGAAATAAAGAGAAATATAAGAGAAACAACTCAAAATCTACAACAAGTAATAATAACACGATTGCGGCGCGCAACCCGATCCAATATATATCTAACGTAGTTGCGGAGTGCAATCCGATCCCATATATATAACATTGTTGCAGCATGCAATCCGATCCAGTATATATAACATTGTTGCGGCGTGCAACCCGATCTAATATATATAGTATTGTTGCGGCGTGCAACCCGATCCAGTATATATAGCATTGTTGCGGCGTGCAACTCGATCCAGTATATATAACATTGTTGCGTCTTGCCACCCGATCCAGTATATATAGAATTATTGCAGAGTGCAACCCGATCCAGTATATATAGCATTGTTGCGGCGTGCAACCCGATCCAATATATATAACATTGTTGCGGCGTGCAACCCGGTCCAATATATATAACATTGTTGCGGTGTGCAACCCGATCCAGTATATATAATATTGTTGCGGCGTACAACCCGATCCAATATATTTATATACCTTAAACTCAATCGTACCACAAGTCCCAGCAAGGGATCAACAATAAACTACACTATCCTGGCAAGGGAATTCAATAGTGGAGTACATACGTCCCGGCAAGGGAGAATCAGCTATAACCAATCTCAACTCAATCCCTACTCATCTCACCTAACACCAATACTCAACCTTAATTAATTTCCATGTAAATAAACTAAAGCCTTGCTCAACATCGAGAATCACCAGTCAGAACATCCGTAGAATCATTCAAGAACATAACACATATCAATTTAAGACTTACGGTCATGTTTGACACCAACGTATAGATACACGTCACCATGCCTATATGTCGTACTCAACAAGAAGCAATTAACAAATAGGACACAACTCCTAATCCCTCAAGCTAAGGTTAGACCAAACACTTACCTTGATGCGACGAACACAATTCACAATTCAATTATAGCTTTACCCCTTGATTCCACTGCCAATTCGCTCGTATCTAGTCACAAATTACTTAATTACATCAATAAACGCTAAATGAATCGACCCCAACGCATGAAAATGAGTTTTCCAAAGTTTTACCCAAAAGTCAAAAATTGCCCCCGGGCCCACATGGTCAAAACCCGAGGTTCGAACCAAAACTCGATTACCCATTCCCCCACGAACCCAAATATATGATTTGTTTTGAAATCGGACCTCAAATCGAGGTCCAAATCCTCAATTTTCGAAAAACCTAGGTTCTACCCAAAACACCCAATTTCCTCTATGAAAATCATTGATTTGAGTTGAAATCATGTGAAAAGATGTTAATGATTGAAGAAAACGAGTTAGAAATCAGTTACCAATGTTTTGGAGGAGAAAAGTTATTTGAAAAATCACCTCTTATGTTTTTGGGGTTTTGAAAAATGAAAAATAACTGAAAATCCCATTTTAATATACCCCTCTCAGACCCCCTGTGCGGACCGCACAAAATGGAGTGCGGCCGCACAGCTCACCCGGTTGACTGCAGTGATATGTTCTAGTATTTTGGCCATACCTGTCTCTACAAATATCTAAATTATGATTTCTTTACCTTTCTGAAAACTAGACACGAAGGGCTACAACTTTCGTTTTTGAATCATCTCAAAATTCCTTGTAGATCAAAAGATATAGGCTTCCAAAGTCGTACCAGCGGAATGTTCCTCACCGCGGACTGCACAGAATCTAGTGGGGCCGCAAATCCCTCATCGCGGTCCGCACAAAATCCAATGCGGCCGCACAAGCCCCTCCGCGGCAACATTCCTCTTTGTGCGGACTGCACTGGTCTATTTAGAGGCTTTCCACCTCTCTGAACCTGCAACAGCTATGATTTTAAGCCTACGACATCCCGGAACCTACCCGAGCTCTCGGAACTCCAAACCAAGTATGCATACTAACTCAAAAACATCATATGGACCTACTCGTGCGATCACATCATCAAAATAACATGTAAAATCATGAATTAAACCTCAAACCTCAACATTTCCATCAAGAACTCTCAAAGTTCATAACTCTTCAACCGGAAGTCCAACTCACGTCAAATAAACTCCATTTTCACCAAATTTCACAGTTATCTTTCAAATACTATAACAAGTTTGTACCGGGCTCCGGCACCAAAATACGGGCCTGATAATAGTGGTTTCAAACATTAATTCTTTTCTTTATTTTAGATAATTCAGTAAAACAATTTCTTTCAAAGATTGATTTCTAAGGCTTGGGACCTCGGAATTCATTTCCAGCCATAGCCCAAGTCCCATATTTTACTGCGGACCTCCCGGGGTCGTCAGAATATGGATCCGGGTCCGTTTGCTCAAAATATTGATCAAAGTCAACCATAATCAAATTTTTAACTCTAGAATTTCTATTTCTCTTCTTTTCACATAGAAGGCTTTCCGGATATAGGTCCGGACCACGCACACAAATCAAGGTGGGGAGAAAGGGAGATTTTTAGGTCTCGGAACACTGAATGCACTTGCAACACAAGTGATGACCTTTTGGGTCATCACAATATATTAGGGACAAAGTGAGTATGGCTTTTGTGGAAGATAAGTTGCGGGAATTGAGGTTGAGATGGTTCGATCATGTGAAGAGGAAAGACTCTGATGTCCCGGCTAGGATGTGCGAGAGGTTGCCCATGGCGAGTCAAAGAAGGGGCAGATGGAGGCCTAAGAAGAATTGAGGTGAGGTAATTAGGCAGGACATGACTCTACTCCAGCTTACCGAGGACATGACCCTCGATAGAAATGTGTGGAGGTCGAGAATTAGGATGGTGGGTTGATAGACAGTCTAGACTTTTGCCTTATCTCACTAGTAGTAGCAGTACTAGTCGGGGTATCTTCCTATTCCTAGTCCCTTGTTTTTATATGCTGTGTCATTATTATCTGTAAGATTGTCACTATTCTTGTAGTTTCGTATCCGTAGATTTTGTTATTACTCGTTGTATTATTTGTTTCTATTGTCTTATTACCTTGTTGTTGCTATTGTTTCTCTATTGCTTCATTTTTATTATTTTTGACCCAAGAGTTTTCGGAAACAACATCTCTACCTTCATAAGGTAGGGGTAATGTCTATGTACAGATTACCTTCTCAAACCCCACTTGTGTGATTTCACTGAGTTTGTTATTGTGGAAGAAAAAGTCAAAATTTATTCCCCTATCATCCATGGCCGACTCCAATGTTATGGAAGGTAATGCTTGTGCCTTAGGCCCCCAAATTTGGGTGCCCAGTTTTTTTTAAAATAATAGGTTTATAGGTATTTAAAAAATAATATTTAGTACTTTTAATATAAAAGTAGAGTTTTTAATATAAAAAGAAAGAAAGCTTCTTTGATATATAAATAAAGTAATAACTTAACTTACCTACGGAAGGGAAGATGAGTAGTTTTCCTAACGTTTTAATTTTTTACTTTTTACTCCTTCATTAGATATCGTGTAAAATTTTTACTCTCTTCCTTAATTTCTCCAAGTCAATCTTTCTTATCAGTCTTTCTCTTTGACATTCTTACTTACATTCTTTTCTCTAAGATATCATTAGTTCAAGTGCTCAACAATAATTTTAAGTTTCCAATAGTTCTAAAGTTTTATTGCTCTATAAAATCTTATCTAAGGTCAATAATTTTTTAAGAAAGATTAAACGATGAATTGATATATATTATCAATTGAAAATGAATTATTAGAAAAAATCGATTATAAAAAAGTTATTAACAATTTTGTATCTTAAAAAGTTAGAAGAATAGATTTTAAATAAAAATAATCTTATTTAGGCCCATATTAAATTTTGACTTTAGTATAAACGTGACTATTTTGTAAGGGCGAGAGTAATATTAAACCAATCTCGAATGGTAGAAAAACATATTTGACCATTTTTCTTAATTAAATCATTCTCAATTTTATTTAAATATATTTTCCCTTGGTTGTTTGTGTCGCACGTATACATAAAATCAACTTTCCATGGGAGTTGGGACAATCCCAAGCAAAAATCGGATAACACCAATAACACAGAGCACGAAACAAGACATCAATTTAACGGTCAAAAACAACCGACTTCCCAAATCCAACGGCCATCGTTTCTTCTCCTAGTGCTCGCCGGGAAAATATAAGTTCTCACAATCTGCAAATTTTCAATTCAAAATTTTTCCTTGAAAATTCCTCTCAAATGGCACAAATTTCCTTAAATTTTCAGTTTAATACCAAGTATTTGTACAGACACACTTTCTTCTGCAATCGTTACGGTTTTTTACACGAAAAAAAAACCATTTCTTTTGTCAATAAAAATTCCCCTTTTCGTCCACACGCTGTTGTATTTTCCAAATCCCTAAATGGGTTTCAATTTTTAGTGAAGAAACGTGAAATATTTGCCCGAGCTAACGGGTCATGCGAGCAAGATTCGGATTCGACGGAAAAAACCGAATCTTCAGCTGAAAACAGCAAGAAAAATCCGGGTTCGGATACGGGCTCGGGTCGAGTTCCTGGGTCGGGTCCAGGCCGGAAGGACAGTTGGTGGTCAAAGCGGAGGAAGTTGAGGTGGGAGCCGATAGTACAGGCTCAAGAGATTGGGGTTTTGTTGTTGCAATTGGGGATTGTGATGTTTGTTATGAGGTTGCTCCGACCTGGTCTGCCTTTACCCGGGTCGGACCCTAGAGCCCCGACAAGTTTTATTAGTGTACCTTACAGTGAGTTTTTGAGTAAGGTGAATAGTAATCAGGTGCAGAAAGTTGAGGTTGATGGTGTACATATTATGTTTAAGTTGAAAAGTGAAGTGAGTAGTAGTAGTGTTGTTGTAGAGAATAATGAGGATAGTAAGTTGCAAGAATCTGAGGCATTGTTAAGGAGTATGAGTCCTACAAAGAAAATTGTGTATACGACGACAAGACCAATTGATATAAAGACCCCTTATGAGAAAATGCTTGAAAATGATGTTGAGTTTGGTTCTCCAGATAAAAGGTCTGGTGGTTTCTTGAATTCTGCATTGGTAAGGTTTTGATGAACAACTTTTCTAGTTCATATTGTTGTTATGCAATATTAAGTGGTATACTTACACATTGCATGTTCACTTGCTATAGCTGTATAGGATTTAAGTTATATGCGTTATCAGTGTAAATTATTTTTGGATAGTTCAATTTAACCAGTTATAACAAGTTCCACTCTAGTTTTCAAGTTACCATATTGTAGGTCAATTTTAACCGATGGTGTAAAAAGTTTGTACACTGTCAATGCACAGAACTTAAACTCATCTGTTACACAACAAAAGGAGCAGTAACACCAGATAGTAGAATAGAACAACCCGTAGAGCTAGCTTGGAAATGGACTGGTATTTAGAAATCTAATGCTTCCTCAACAGCTATCTTTAGAATGTCTTAGTTCTTTCTTCAATCTTTCTAAATGCTACTAATTGTAACTTCACTGCTTTTGATTTTGTCTTTCTGAAATTGCCACAAATGAAGTAGTTATAACTATACCAACTGAAAAGTTGTTCTTACCTTTGTTGGAAGAAAAATGTTGTGTTGCCTTTATGTCATGTAGTTAATATCTCTTTTCACTGAGCTTTGATGGTACTTAAGGTATTTCTCTGTCTACTAGCGCGTTCTATTTCATTTAATCAACTGGACTTCTTTCCACACTGGTTAGAGTCAGCTAACCTATCTCAACCTTCTTCTTTTATTTGGATTTAGGACCAGTTATGTGAAGCTCATTTAGGCAGTGTTTAGGGTGCTCTATTTGAAGCCAGACATTCTGTATATGGATTCTCAATGAGTTGTTACTTGATTGAGATGACTTGACTTAGAGATTTTGGAGAAACCACCGGAGTGCAGTTTGATGGTTCACCAAAATGATATTTTTGAGCCGTCTATATTCTTTTCCTTTTTCCCTTTTTTCTGATGTTATTTCATTATTCACTATAATAGTCTTCCATACTCGTGGGTTTCAACCAGAGATCTGCTTTGAGCTCTTTATTGTTACACTGGTTATGGATAAGCGAACCAGAGGTACACATGATAATGTCTCATGGTTTATGCCAATTGTACACATGATACTCATGGTGTATGCTAATTGTAGATGATATTGTGTTAACTGACGAAGCTAGCAAGGGTGTTGTAAGAAATCTGGAGAAGAGTGAACATGGAGAAGCACTTTAGGGAGTAAGAAATCTGGAATAACTAGAAGTAAGAACAACTCACTGCAAGTTTAGCCGGTACAAGAAGAATGAAGCTAATGAGAGAGTAGATGTGATGGTGGTTACCAAATGCAGATAATTCAGATATTTATGCTGAATTTTGCAGGACAATGTTATGATAGATGACGATGTAACACATAGAATTGAAATTGGATGGTTGAAACAATGGAACGTGAGTATGATGAAAATGTTCTGCCATGGGAGGATGTCTACAAAAGCAAAACGCATGTTCTTTAGCATGGTCGTAAGACCAGCAACTTATATGAGAGTGGATGTGCAATCTATAAGATTAAACAAGATAAAAAATGACCATATCCGATGATAAAATGAAAAAATGTTATTTGAGATCTTGTTCATGTATTATGAAGATCTCCAAGTTAACTGCTCCGATGATGTGAAACAAATGATTATTCAATTTGTTAAAGGGAAGTGGTGAACCTAAAACCATGTGGAGAAGTTTAAAAAATCTAAAACCTTTGAGAATCCAAGCAGAGTCCGTGCAAAATAAAACACAATAAAAGCGAAAGATAATGTATACCAACTAGTTGAGATTAAGGTTTAGTTATATTGGTGCAGTTACATCAGGTCCATGTTTTTGTTAAACATGTTTAGAGATTTGTGTGTCAGAATATGTAGAGCATCTCTAGTGTTAGAGAACTCCGAATTATCAAGTACTGGAAAGAAACAGGGTTCGAATGGAGTGAAATGTAGATTGAGGATTCATATGGCCTACCCCAATTAGCTTGGGATGGAGGCATGGTTGTATTAGAGGGAACAAATGACAATATCAAATGAAAAATATTTCAAAGTTGGAATTAAAAACTAACTTTACTTTTGATTTTGCAGATAGCTTTATTCTATGTTGCTGTACTAGCAGGGCTTCTTCATCGCTTCCCAGTAAACTTTTCTCAGGTATATTTGTGAATATATTTGTGGCAATTCCCATATCCACCATATTTATGAATACATCACCTACTTTATTGTGGCTGCCTAATTACAGAGCACAGCTGGTCAGCTCAGAAATCGCAAGTCAGGGGGTTCAGGTGGCGCCAAAGTATCTGAACTTGGGGAAACTATCACATTTTCTGATGTTGCAGGTGTTGACGAGGCTAAGGAGGAGCTAGAAGAGATTGTGGTATGTTTCATTTTCATTTGGTGAACTCTCTTAGCAATATTTCCTCACGAGTGCTGCATTGTGATACCTAAAATATTGAATAGTTTATAACTCATTATTGTGGTCTTTTATAACTGCTATTTTCTCCAGGAATTTCTTAGGAATCCAGATAAGTACATACGGCTTGGTGCACGTCCTCCTCGTGGTGTTCTACTGGTGAGTTTCAAATTCAACATAGTAATGGGACCGCTAGATCGTTATCAAAGTGAAAAGCTGCAAGAGTACTGATACAGTAATTGGAGGCTTTTAATCATAACTCATTGAAACTTTCTGCTTTCTGGTTTTTATTTATTTAGTTATTTTGTCTTCCTGAAGGGATTCTCTCTCTATCCCTTCATATCACTTTGTGATGCCTCTATAACTAAATTACATCATTATTTCCTGCTAATTTTGTTATGCGACTATTGACTCGTAGACCATTCTACTTGGGGACACCCTTTGATTAGTTATCATCTTTGTGCTTCTTAGTGTACACATTGCTCAAGTAGCTTTAACTTCTTGCAGGTAGGTCTTCCGGGGACAGGAAAAACACTTCTAGCAAAGGCCGTCGCTGGGGAAGCTGAGGTTCCTTTCATCAGTTGTTCTGCAAGTGAGTTTGTAGAATTGTATGTTGGTATGGGAGCATCACGCGTCCGGGACCTGTTTGCACGGGCAAAGAAGGAGGCACCTTCAATAATTTTTATCGATGAGGTAGCCTCTGCTTTCCCTCTTTCCTTCTTCCTCTCAAAACTCAAAATATCCTAATAAAAAGTGTGTCCATTTTCCCCGGATGTGCAGATAGATGCTGTGGCAAAAAGCCGTGATGGTAAATTCCGCATTGTAAGCAATGATGAAAGAGAGCAGACACTGAACCAACTACTCACTGTAAGATGTGCTGATTTTTTTATGTGCTACATCACTTCAGTTTTGCATAAGAAATTAATATTTTACAATAATCAACAGGAGATGGATGGATTTGACAGTAATTCTGCTGTAATTGTCCTTGGAGCAACAAATCGCTCTGATGTTTTAGACCCTGCTCTTCGCCGACCTGGAAGATTTGATCGTGTAGTGATGGTTTGTATCTGTCCTCTGCTGGAATAGAAATTTCATTTATTATAAAGCTTTTGTCCATGATTTGGAACATTGGTCATGACCTCCTCATACAACAACTCCTATAGAAGGGAAATGGTGATGCAAGTTTTTGTTTCAAGGTGGAAGCGCCTGATAGGGCTGGAAGAGAAGCTATCCTAAATGTACATGTCTCCAAGAAAGAACTTCCCCTGGCACAAGATGTTGATCTTGGCAACATCGCTTCTATGACTACTGGTTTCACGGGGTAATCCTTCCTCTCTGATTTTCTTAAGCTTTCAATTTCATCTATGGTGTTTCTATGGCTGACTGTTCATCTTGGGGATGTACAGGGCAGACCTTGCAAATCTAGTGAATGAAGCTGCTTTGTTGGCAGGAAGGCAGAATAAAGTTGTAGTTGAAAAAGAAGATTTCATTCAAGCTGTTGAGCGTTCAATTGCGGTATCATTTCTTCCCTCTCAAAACAATGCTCTAATAGCTGAGTGACATGCGTGCACCATTACTATTTCTGCATTACATGAGACTATGTTTCTCCGTTCTCATGTGCTATATCCTCGAATATTGCTGCTTGTAGTTCAATAAGATCTAAGTGGGCACACATAAGAAGCTTGTTATGAGAAAAAAAATCCATCTTAAGTATTCTCCCTTGAACAAGAGCCCACTAGGAAGGATTTTACATTTTTAGGCTCTATGATATGATAATTTTAATAAACTTGGATTGTCATTGATTCAGAGAAGAGGTGCATCTTATCGGTCCTTAAACTTCGAATGTGTATGTTCCACTGTTTTTTTTATAACCGTGGTGTCCGGGCCAACTTATGCGCATCGCGACTAATTCCATGGGATACCTGCTACCTCCTACCAGCAGCAGGTACCAGTTAACTCTATCCTCCAAGGCTTGTATAGATGGGAAGAAATCACCTAGTGCTTTTTGTCTCCGCTGGCAAATTGAACCTGAGACCTCATGGTTCTAACCTACTTCATTGACCACTAGGCCAACACTTGGGTGCTATGTTTCAATGTTTTAGACCTTGATAGTTCTAAATGAACAGAATTTTATATACAGTTAAAATATAACGGTCAGCAATGAGGAACATGTGCAAGCTTCAACATTCCTAACATTAGCGGCAATGGTAGAATTGGCTGAGTCAAGATTCATTTGATCCCTCTTTTAACTCAGGACCAGTGTCTTCTAGTTTCATGTGCGCCAAACTTGAAGTACAGAGCAGTCTTTGGTTTTGAGTGAAATTACATATTGCTCAATTTATGTCTATGGATCTTGTATAACAAAATTGTAAAAAGCTTGAATATGATGGGGAATAGTGACTGCCCTCTAAGAGCCCATGTAAGGAAGAGCATTGTCCAGGAAAGTCCAACAAGGTTGAAGGTCTAACTCTCGGAAATTCTAGATGCCCTACAAGTTATAGTTTGTTTCCCCCATGCTCAATCTAGTACTGCTGGTTTGTTGGTCAATAGGAAAATAAATGATAAAGTATTTCTTGTTCTTGATCATTCTCTGCTATGTCAGTTGATTTGTATGTTTTAGTTGTTCACCAATTCCATTCAGGTTTACAAGCTTCATTTTCAATGTTTCAGGGCATTGAGAAGAAGACTGCCAAGCTGCAGGGCAGTGAGAAGGCTGTAGTTGCAAGGCATGAAGCAGGGCATGCAGTTGTTGGGACTGCTGTTGCTAAGCTTCTTTCTGGGCAGCCACGCGTTGAGGTAATCATTATTTTAACTTGCTCTGAGAAAGTTTATTTCTTCTTGATTTACTACAAGCTCGCATTATTTATTTAGTTGACTGGTTTTGTGTCACACTGGGTAACATCTGATAAAAGGAACCGATCCNAGCATGGGACCTCTAAATTCTAATATGGTTTTGCTTGTTCTTGGGTTATGGAGCATTAAAAAACAGTTAGGATCATTGATCAATGTCACTGCTCTGACCTATCCTTTTTTTTTTATGACCGAGAAATCCGTCTGGGGCCGATCCTTTGGACCAACCGCAGCCTTCGAAACTCGGTGGATAATGGGCCCGTCCCTCTACCCTTCTCCACTTAAATACCAAGCTTTGCTTTGTATGGTGTGGGGGCTTGAACCTGTGACCTAAGACACAAATTCACCACCCTTTGCCACTTGAGCTAGGCCCTGGGGGCACTGCTCTGACCTATCCTTCTTGATGTAGTATAACTGTTATTATGGCAAAATAAAGTAAAAAATAGAAAATGGGAAATAGTGACTTTTTGGTGTCTAGTTAAGTGATAAAAATGTCCAGAGCGGAAAGATATCAGTGTCTGGATTTAATACTTTATCCCACAAAAGAAAAACAAGTGGGTGTTATTTGATAAGGAATAGGAAATGACTTGGTTCTGATGTCAGACTTGAATACAAGTCAATACGCTGCTTATTACTTGACCTCTATTATACCTAATGAGGCAAAGCTGGAAGAATATATGGATAAGCAATCTTAGTTATCAGGAAAAAACGTAAGGTTCTCCTTCCCTCTCTCTTTTCTGTCTTTCTCCAGATTCATGGAAATGTATGCACTGGCTAAAAGGTTTTAGGCCTCTGTGGCAAGCAGCTCTGGTTTTTTTTTCCTTAATGTTTTTCATTATATGAAGGGGGAGCCTTGGCGTAACTGGTGAAGTTGCTGCAATGTGACCAGGAGGTCACGGGTTCGAGCCGTGGAAATAGCCTCTTGCAGAAATGCAGGGTAAGGCTGCGTACGATAGACCCTTATGGTCTGGCCCTTCCTCGCACCCCGCGCATAGCGGGAACTTAGTGCACCGGGCTGCCTGATGTTTTTCATTATGTAGTTTTTTGGTTGAGTAGGTAAGGTAAAGTATTCCAAGATTTTGGTGCTAGTAAATAGAGAATGAGACATCTAAAGACATTTTTCTCGTTACTTCCCCTTCCCTCTCTTTATTGATCTTGATGGCACCGGTTAGTTTATTATCTTCTCCCCCGATTATCCTTCAATTAAAATGTATCTCTATTTCAATGGAACAATACCAACATGGTTCTGAAAGTTGTCTTCCTGCAAAGGTCTCTCAATATGTTTGCTCCTTTTCGTTTGAAATATTCCAAGTGAAGTCAGCCGTTGCTATATCGGTGCATGATCCTTAAAGGCTTTTACCAAAATGAGTATTTTGCTGCTTCTGCTCATCTGAAACTGCAATTATTGCTTTTCTTGTACATAATTGTGAATATTGCAGTTATGGTTTCAATAACAGCTTCCTTTTCTCGTTAATCAGAAGCTAAGCATATTGCCGAGATCTGGAGGGGCTTTAGGATTTACTTATATTCCTCCAACCAATGAGGACAGATATCTGCTCTTTGTTGATGAATTACGTGGAAGATTGGTCACTCTTCTTGGTGGACGTGCAGCGGAAGAAGTATTGTACTCTGGACGTGTATCTACAGGTGCTCTTGACGATATACGCAGAGCAACAGACATGGCCTACAAGGCAGTGGCTGAATACGGTCTTAATGAAACCATTGGCCCTATTTCAGTGGCAACTCTTTCCAGTGGTGGAATGGATGATAGTGGATCCATGCCCTGGGGAAGGGATCAGGTATTTTCTGCTTTTCCCACTCTCATGATATCTGCTTTCTTCTGCTCTAATTCTTTGGGTTCTAACTTAAGAAAACGACCTCCTTAACAGAACTGAAATTAAAATTATTCCAACAGGGGCATCTTGTTGATCTTGTTCAAAAAGAGGTCAAGGCCTTACTACAGTCTGCACTTGATATTGCACTTTGTGTTGTACGTGCTAATCCCACAGTTCTTGAGGGGTTGGGAGCTCAATTGGAAGGTAATACTTAATGATGCTTTTACTTACCATTTAACATTTTGATATTCTTTAGTATTGCTTTCTTTTAGCATCTTCATAGGGCAATGATTCTACATTGAAGCTTGTTTAAACATACTAAGTAAATAAAATTGTGCTCTCTCTAACAACTTAAGCTTTTAGATGAGATGCTCACACAATTTAACATGGTTCTCACTGTAACTCATTATCATAAGTAACTTTCATGTGCCAAGCACATGAAAAACAATCATGCTTGCATGTGCAGGGGTGTGTCGAATCATACTTTTAAGTAAATAGAAATGCACTCTTTTTAACCGCTTAAGCTTTAAGATGAGATAGTCAAATAATTTAACAAACTTAGCTAAGAGAATCTTATTTTATATGTTGATTAACAATGAAGATCTTACTTTAATATTCTCTTTCTTCCACCTCAGAGAAAGAGAAAGTAGAAGGTGAAGAACTACAAGAATGGTTGAGCATGGTTGTTGCACCGGCAGAACTTAACTTTTTTGTTAAGGGCAAGCAAGAGTCTTTACTTCCATTGCAAGCAAGCTCTGGATGACAGCTGCAAGCTTAACCAAGTCATCTGTATCAAAAGGAAATTCGAGTGAGGACTTCCACGTCATCATCTTTCCTCTTAAGGAAAACAAAGCTAATATTCCTGGACCAGATGGACACGGCGTGCTGGCATCCGGCCAGCTTGATTTTGTATGTGTTACTAAGGTAATTGACAGCTACTTAACTCCTATAAATCCTGCTGTTAAATACCACAATCACAGGTTGGTAATTTAAAGAGCAGGGGTATACTAAAGATCTAATCAAGAGTTTTCTTGATCCTAGAAGTGGAAGGAAAATAGGCTCGTGATCGAAGTGATGTCTGTTGGTATATTTCTTCTACATCACCTGTACATGTGCAATTATTTTGGTAATTACAAGAATCAATACTTAATATTGTACCATACATCTGTACTTCATCTTACAAAGAAGTAATCCATGTTCTGATGTTGTGAGAGATGAAAACTGTGTAGACAATGTAATCTTTGTGATTATGGGACAAAAGTATCACTAGGCTGCCATAATTATTGACTTGTGTAAATGTTGATAGTTTTGTCTTATTAATTAGATTTCTTACAGCCCTATGTTTTTGTAAATTGGAAGTATTTGATGAGGTGAAATGTTAAAAAGAGACTTGTAAGTGCAGGAGAGATTTCTAAACCAAGTAGATGATGAAGTGACAATTAAATGTCTTTTTGTACTTGTTGTGATGAAAACAATAAAAGAAGAAGACAATATTGTAGAGAAAGAGAGGGGAAATTCTTATTGAATTTTGGGATGATTTACAATGGGGTAAGATCCCTTTATTTATAGGGGGAAAATGAATTAGCCACAAAGTAAAACTCTTTATAAGATAGACATTTACTCTAATTACAATTCTATTCTTAACACTCCTCCTTGAATGTCTACTCAATAAGTAATGTGCCTCGTTAAAACCTTAACTAAAATAAAACCCAATGGGAAAAAAATTCTAGAAAAAGAAAAAGAGTACACATATCTAACAATACGCCTTTTGGTTGCCTCGTTAAAAACCTTGCAAGGAAAACCCAGTAGGACAAAAATTTTGTAAGGGAAAAAGAGTGCAAGGCGCATTAAACTCGCCCTGATGAGAGCATCATTTCACATCCTTGAGCCTTCGCATCCAATCTTGTGTACTAGCTTCTTGAAGGTTGACGTCGGTAGAGGTTTTGTGAACAAATCAGCCATATTATCACTTGAACGAATCTGTTGCACATTGATATCACCATTCTTTTGAAGATCATGTGTGAAAAATAACTTTGGTGAAATGTGCTTTGTCCTATCTCCTTTTATGAATCCCCCCTTCAATTGGGCTATGCATGCTACATTATCTTCATACAAAATCGTGGGTAGCTTGTCACATTTCAAACCACATTTGTCTCGAATAAGATGTATTATAGACCTCAACCACACACATTCTCGACTTGCTTCATGAATAGAAATTATCTAAGCATGATTAGATGAAGTAGCCACAATTGATTGCTTAGTCAATCGCCAAGATATGACAGTGCCTCCACAAGTAAACACATAACCTGTTTGAGATCGAGCCTTGTGTGGATCGGATAAATACCCAGCATCAGCATAGCCAACAAGATCAGGACTGTAATTATTGTCATAAAATAAGCCCATATCGGTAGTCCCTTTTAGATACCACAATATGTATTTGATTCCATTCCAATGTCTCCTTGTGGGAGCAGAGCTATATCTTGCTGAGACGTTGACTGAAAAGGTTATGTCAGGCCTTGTCGTATTAGCAAGATACATTAGTGCACCAACTGCACTAAGATATGGTACTTCAGGACCAAGTAGCTCTTCATTCTCTTCTTGAGGTCGGAATGTATCCTTAGTCACATCAAGTGATCGAACAACCATCAGAGTACTTAATGAATGTGCTCCATTCATGTAAAACCGTTTCAATACCTTTTCTATGTAGGCAGATTGATGAACAAAAATTTCGTTTGCCAAATGTTCAATTTGCAAATCAAGACATAATTTTGTCTCTCCGAGATCTTTCATCTCGAATTCCTTCTTTAAATAATCAATTGACTTTTGGAGTTCTATAGGAGTTCCAATAAGGTTTATGTCATCAACATATACGGCAAGTACAATAAATTTCGATGTTGTTTTCTTTATAAAAATACATGGGCAAATGACATCATTTATATAGCCTTCCTTTAATAAATACTCACTAAGACGATTATACTATATTCGTCCTGATTGCTTTAGACCATACAAAGATCTTTGCAATTTGATTGAAAATATTTTTCGGGACTTAAAATTATGTACGTTAGGCATTTTAAATCCCTCGAGAATTTTCATGTATATCTCATTATCAAGTGAGCCATAAAGGTAGGCGGTAACCACGTCCATTAATGCATGTCAAGCTTTTCATGGACAACAAAACTAATGAGATGAGACAATGATGGATTTTTCCACAAAATTTCCCGTTTGGTTTCACCAACTTCTCCCCCTAATTTTGGGAAAAATGTCTCATCGAATCGACAGTCGGCAAATCGTGCAGTAAACAAATCCCCCGTTAATGTTTCGAGGTAGCGAATAATGGAGGGCGATTCAAACCCAACATATATTCCTAACCTTCTTTGGGGACCCATTTTGGTGCGATATGGCGTGGCTACAGGCACATATACTGCGCATCCAAAAATTCTTAAATGAGATATATTACGTTCATGACCCAAAACTAATTGCAACGGAAAATATCTATGATAATTTGTCGGTCTGAGACGAACAAACATTGATGCATGCAAAATGGCGTGACCCCAAACAGAAGTGGGCAACTTCGTTTTCATGAGTGGTCTTGCTATCAATTGCAGACGTTTAATTAAAGACTCTACAAAGTCATTTTGAGTGTGAACATGAGCTACATGATGTTCCACTTTTATCCCAATTGATAGGCAATAATCATTAATTGCTTGGGATGAAAACTCAGCATCATTATCAAGTCTAATAGACTTAATTGGATTATCGGAAAATTGTGCCCGTAATCGAATTATTTGTGCCATTTATTTTGCAAACGCAAGATTGTGAGATGACAATATGCACACATGATACTATCTAGAATATGCATCTATTAAGACCATAAAATATCTAAACGACCCACTAGGTGGGTGAATAGGTCCACAAATGTCCTCTTGTATACGTTCCAAAAACGCAGGGGACTCAATTCCAACCTTTATTGGCGATGGTCTTATAATTAACTTGCCTTGATAACAAGAAGTGCAAGGAGATTCATTATTTAAAAGAATCTTTAAATTCTTTAATGGGTGCCCATTTGAGTTTTCTATAATTCGTCTCATCATAATTGTTCCAGGTTGTCCCAATCGATCATGCCAAAGTACAAAAGTATTGGAATCGGTAACCTTTTGGTTTACGGTAGAATGTGCCACAATTGCACTAATTCTTGTCCAATACAGACCACAAGATAAAGATGAGAATTTCTCAACAACTCTTTTTTGGCCAGAGACATTTTTGGTAATGATGAGATATTCAAGATTATTCTCATCTATTGTCTCAATATGATATCCATTTCGGCGAATATCTTTAAAACTCAACAAGTTCCTCTTGGATTTGGAGGAGAACATTGCATTCTCTATGATAAGTGTTGTTCCCTTTAGGCAGAGTTATAGTAGCTCTCCCAAAGCCTTCAATTAATTTACTGCTATCAGAAATTGTAGTAACATCTGCCTTACACATATTTAAATGTGAGAAATATTTCTTCTCTTTGAATATTGTATGTGTCATATATGAATCAACTAAATAAATATTTTTACAATTGAACTTTGATCCAAGTTTATTTTGTGAAATATCCATATTTGCTTTCCATTGTCTGACATACAAAAGAAATATACGAATAAACATTAGTATTTATAAACCGAAAGCTATTGGAAGAAAAAACAATGGGAAACCTTTTGTTTTGAAGTCCACGCAAATCTTTATCTCGTCTCGTAAAAGTTAATCCACCTATTATAATAGCATTTATATGATGTCAAATACACTTACAAAATGTTGCAATTACAACACAATACAACAACATACACATCATATGACACATGGACGTGTAATGCAATAATGCATTATAAGAATAACAATTAATAAATATTATACATACACATAGCTGTTTGTAAAATATAACAAATTATTTTATACAATGAATGATGTATATTCTGCATGCAGTCATAATATTTAAGCAATGTTGCAGTATAAACAAAAAAATTGTTAAACAAACTTTACTATTATTGTTTATCATCAGTTATAAGTGCTTAAAAATACATAGTCAATCTGCAATATTATAACCTACAAAATATAAGTTTACAGTTTAAATTCATAACTAAAATTACACTACGGCATGTAAATGTTAAGAGTAATAATACAAAGCACAACTAATTTGCAGTAACAATAATACTAAATACATTATATATATGTATAAAACTGAGAACAGTATGTATAAATATAATAATCAATACATACATTCAAAATTAAACTACTATTCCCACTCCATCCTTAAAATACCACCTACTAAATTTTATCCAAAAAAAAAAAAGGACTGTATTAAAACCACGCGAAGTATACATCAAAATCCAATAAAATAATAATACTAATTGATTATAATGACTACTACTCATGTAAGGTAGGAATGCGATTACATGATATTTATTCACTAACTACAACGAATAGGTAAAATAAAAAGCAAATTGCTCAATCATCTTTAACCACAGATCTATCACCGATCAAGTAGTCTATTTTTCCATCAGGGCGCTCAAAGAAGTCTGCCACATCCAAGTGGGTGATGTCAAAATCATTGTCAGAGATAAAATTGTCTTCATGGCCTTTATTCTTTAGAGATGCTTGATAAAGCTCAACCAAATGTCTTGGTACACGATAAATATTTGCCCAATGTCCTTTTCCACCGCAACGATAACATTTAGTTTCTGAACCATTTGCCTTTGTCTTCTTATCTTTCCCTTTCCACTTTTGGTGGTTATTTTTCTTTGGGGGGTGATTAACACCAGGAAAATTTCTTCCTTGTCCATGGCCACGGCCACGACCATGATCACGACCACAACCACGAATAGGGCCACGACCTTTTCCATGCTTAGCATAATGGGAATATACCTCATCCACTTCAGGCAATGGTGCAGACCCAGTGGATCGATTTTCGTGATTTCTCATGAGCAATTTGTTGTTTCGTTCAACCACAAGGAGAAGAGAAATCAACTCAGAGTACTTCTTGAAACCTTTCTCTCTGTACTGCTGTTGCAGGACCATATTGGAGGCATGAAACATTGTAAACGTTTTTTCAAGCATATCATAGTCAGTGATAGTATCTCCACAGAGTTTCAATTTAGAAGTAATTCTGAACATCGCAGAATTATATTCAGAAACAGACTTACAGTCTTGGAGCCTCAGATGAGCCCAATCATATCGTGCTTGTAGAAGAGTGACCAACTTTAAGTTGTCATATCTTTCCTTTAAATCATTCCACAAAACAAGTGGATCTTTGACTATGAGATCTTCTATTTTCAACCCTTCATCAAGGTGATGACGTAAG